ACTTCAAGTATCACTGTCTTGAAGCTTGTTTTAATCCATAAATGGATTTCTTTAGGCGGCATCCCATTCGTTCTTTTTCTTCCAAAACAAAACCTTTCGGTTGTGCCATGTAAACATTTTCCTCTAAGTCCCCGTTGAAAAATGCCGTCTTTACATCCATCTGATGTAATTCTAAATCGTAATGTGCCACTAAGGCCATTATGATTCTAAAGGAATCCTTACATGAGACTGGAGAAAATGTCTCATTGTAATCAATCCATTCTCTTTGCGTAAAGCCTTTTGCCACAAGTCGTGTTTTATATCTCTCTATATTTCCTTGAGAGTCAAGTTTTGTTTTGTAGACCCATTTATAGCCTACTGTTTTGACTCATTTAGAAATTATTTCCAAGTCTCAAACTTTATTGGCATTCATGGATTTCATTTCATCTTCCATGGCCTCAAGCCACTTTGATGAATGATCACTTCTCATGGCTTCTTCAAATGAGGTGGGATCATCCTCCATTTGAAATTCCTCAATATTGTATACTTCATAGTCAGCAGGAATAACTAATTTTCTAACTCTTTGAGACCTTTTAGGGGCACATCTTCTGTTTGAGGCTGTTATTGCTCCCCCTCATGTGTGGCAATAGGTTCTACAGGGTCCTAAAGAACAAGTTCCTCATCATTATTCATTTTTGCCATAGGCGGAATAACAATAAGTGCTGGCAACACAGTATCTTGCACTGTCGGTGCAGCGATAGTAGGTAGTGAGAAAAATGGCTCATGAATCATCGGAGTGGGAGCATACACCCGCTTCTCTTCAAGGTTAATTTCTCAAGCTACCATGCTCCCCCTCATCATTTCATCCTCTAGGAAGATAGCGTGTCTCGTTTCCACAAACTTTGTATGTCTGTCTGGACAGTAGAAACGAAAACCTTTTGACTTTTCTGGGTAGCTAATAAAATGGCAACTTACTATTTTAGGATTTAGCTTCCCAATGTTTGGGTTAAATACTTTAGCCTCAGCAGAGCTCCCCCACACACGTAAGTGGTTTAGTGAGAGTACTCTTTCTGTCCACAACTCATACGGTATTTTGGGCACCGACTTACTTGGTATTCTATTGAGAATATGAATGGCGGGTTTTAACGCCTCCATCCACAGGATCAACGGTAAGGTGGAGTAACTTATCATACTATGCACCATATCCATCAGGGTACGATTGTGTCTTTCAGCTACTCCATTCTACTGAGGTTCGTCCGGTGTAGAATACTGGGCTACTATGCCATTCTCCTGTAAGAACCTTACAAAAGGTCTAGGAACTTAGCCATATAGGGTATGCCAACCGTAGTACTTCCCCCCACGGTTGCACCTGACTATCTTAATCTTTAAATTGTGTTGGTTTTCAACTTCTGTCTTAAATATCTTAAATTTATCCAATGCTTCTGTTCTTTCTTTGATTAGATAAATGTAGCCATAACAGAAGTAATCATCTGTGAATGTTATGAACAAATCATAACCATCCACACTCTTTATAGGAAACGGACCACAGATGTCTGTGTGAATAATCTGTAAAATTCCTACGCTTCGTTTGACATCTTTCTCAATTTTATTTACATACTTTCCTTTTATGCATTCTCTACATTGTTCTAAATCTGAGAACTCTAATGGAGGAAGAATATCATTCTTAACTAGTCTCTCTATTCTCCCCCTCGAAATATGGCCTAAACGTTACTGCCATAATTTCGACGACGCATCGTGAGCTCTCTTTCGTTTTCTGTTTACATCCGCAGACGATGATACATTCTCATTGTCGCACGCAACGTTCCCATCATCGCATACAACATTCACATTATCACGTAGTGATAACAAATAAAGCTCATTTTGTAAGATAGCAAGACTAACACATGCATTATTAAATGTCATCTTACATTTGCCATTTTCAAAATGGCAATCATATCCATCATTGTCCAAGCATAAAACACTAATCAAGTTTCTCTGTAAAGAGGGAACATACAATACATCTCTAAGTAAAAGTGTGAAGCCATCAGCAAGCTCTAGAGAAAGATCGCCAACGACTTCAACATCTGCTCGGACTCCATTTGCAACTTTAACGTGTCTTTCTCTTCTTTGCGTAGTCCTCGTCGAACGGAATCCCTGTAAGGAATTAGCAACATGAACAGTTGCGCCTGAGTCAATCCACCAAGTAGATTTTGAATACTGTACATACAGAGATTCATTTATGAACGTAATAATGTTCTTACCTTTCTTTGTCGTGATCATCTTTAAGTAATTGGGACAATCTTTCTTATAATGTCCCATCTTCTTGCAATAGAGACACTGGTCTTTCTCTACTGTAAACTTGTTCTGCTGAGGTTGATGCAGCATGGGACCATTTCCCTTTGACTTTGAGGAGTTAGCATTATTATTCTTTTTTTGTTGTCTTTCACATAATTGATAGTGCCACCATTGGCAGCTTTCATTCTCTCCTCCTCTTGCACACACATAGCCATGAGCCTCTCTAAGTCCCACTTCTCGGGCTATATGTTGTAATTGACAACAAAAGTGTCAAATTCTTTTGGCAAAGAAGCAAAAATCAGATGGATAAGGAACTCTTCCTTGAGAGCCAGATCCATTGGTTTTAGTTTAGATGCCAAATTGCTCATCCTTAGTATGTGCTCTCTTATACCACCATTTCCAGAGTATCTCTCTGTCACTAGCTGCTTTATCAGTTGGGTAGAATATGTCTTTGAAGAGCCAGTGAACTGACTCTTTATTTTATTGAGGTACTCGATGACCGTATCATACTCTGAGATTGAGCCCACAATTATAGGCTCAATCCTGTTCTTTATCACAACCAAACATTTTTTGTTGACAGTGACCCACTTCCTATGCTCAAAGTCATAGGACATCTTTTGGGATGTAAAATCCCTCTCTCTAGTTGCCTAAGCGGCATCAGCCTCATTTGTCTCCCTCACCGATGCCACAGGCTCAGTGGGACACGGTGAGGTGACTACCCAGTCCACCTCAGCCAAGATGAAGGCCAGGTCAATCTTTTTCTTCCACTCCGTGTAGTTGTCACCTTTGAGAGTGGGGATCTCTTTAATACAACCCATCAAGTTGTATCCGTCTGAAAGCACAATTCATATCGAGTGAGAACATAAACATAATAATAACAATTGCATGTCTTAGTTTCAACGTTGGTCAAAATAAAAACATACAATTGTCCTCTACACTAATTCTACATCACCGTTGAGTAGAAATAGAATTAATGCATGACAAAACTCATAAATAACATCATAATATTGCCATTAATCAACGTTGGTCAGAATAATAACAATATTATAATAAACTAAAAACATATCTATTTTTTAAAATTAAATTCTCCCGTTGGTTCGAATTTAATAATGAAAATAACAACTTTAAATACGCAGCGGAAAGTGTAAATATTTTCATTATTATTTTTCTAGAAACTTTATAGTATTGTACTTTTCTCTGAACAAAATTGTCATTGGATCAAAATTGTACAGAGTTGGACATCAAAATTCAATTGAAATTCATCAAATATGTATCAAAAGGTTTCTGGAAAAATAAAACGAAAGAAAAATTATGTTTCACTGTGTTTGCGGCCATTTCAGCCCAGTAGAGCAGAAAATGCGGCCCACGGCCTAGCGCGCAATGTCCAGCACAGTGCCAGCGCAGCCCAGCCCCAATACGCGCGTGCGTCCGCTCGCGGTGTCTCCCCCGCGCCCAGGCCACAACCTGGGCCTGGGCCGGGAAAGTTCTCGCCCGCCTGGGCCGATTCTGGCCCAAGCAATCTGAGGCGTTCGCTTTCATGCGACAGCCGAGCGTCGATTTCGCAGGATAAAAAAAAACCCCGGCCACGACTGCCCCTGAAACCCTAGCCCATTCTCTTCTTTGCGCTCTCTCTCTCTCTTCGCCGCACTCCTTTCTTCCTTCTCAGCGCAGCAACAGCGAGCAACCGAGAGACGATGGAGCATGGCGCCGTCGTCGGCCCCCTCGCCGGCGTGCGCACTCCCTAACGGGTGAGCGCGCCGCCGTCGAGGGGCCCAGCCGCGGCGCCCTTGGCCCGCTTGGCCTTCTTCTCGCGCGACGGCGAGGCGGCAATGCGGTGCACGGCGAGGTAGGACCCTTCCCCTTCTTCCCCTTTCTCTTTTCTTCATCTATTTTTGGATCTTTTCCTCTGTTCTTCTCGGATTTCATCCGATTGGAGATTAGGGTTAGGGTTAGGTCAAGTTAGGGTTAGGGTTTGACTCACTGGAGTCACTATTCATCTTCCCTAGCGAGTGTTTCGTGGGTTAGGGTTCGGCTTCGCGTGCCGAGACCCCTTTCTCTTCTCTGTTCTTCACCCGATTAGGGTTAGGGTTCGGTGACCATCTTCTTTTCTCAGATCCGAACGGATCTAATCTAATAGGCTAGATCTATACCCAAACGAGGCTCTGGTACCATTGTTAGACCTAGAACAGGATCTCTAGGCATAGAACTAGCATGTCTACTTGCTGTTGAATAGAATCATGAGCCCTAGAACATCTACTAGTGCAGTAACCGTAGATAGAACGAGAGAGACAGAGAGGGGTGGAGTAGAAGAAGAACGTGTCGAACCTGACACCGCATAGGGTGATGGTCCAGAGGCCGTCATCTCGTTCGTCGTTGAAGTCTGCGCACGGACAGCGACGTTCGGGGAAGAGGTCGATGAAGCCGTCGACGTCGGTGGAGCGGGGCGGCGTGGCTGGTGGCTTCCCGTCACTGGCTGCGCCCTCTCTAGATCGGATTAGGGTTTAAGTTTCGGTGGAGAGCTCGGCTCAGGCGAATCTCGTACTCAGAGTGTCGGCCCCCACATCTATTTATTGCGCAGTGTGACAGGGACCCTCCAACCATAGTTGGCTAGGCGCCCCCGATCAAGGTGTGGATCAAAGGCCCAACTAAGCCGTTAGGCTCCGTTTAGAATTAGAGATCAATCTAACAAGGGCGAGTAGGCCAGACGCGCAGGTCCCTCGACTCACTCGGCTGGAGCTGAAGGTGCAGCATGTCTGCCCAGTCCAGCTTCTGATCCTCCGACACGACGAAGGCCTGGCCGTAGCCTTGGACGCTGTCAGGGCGCTGTGCCCATTCCTTCTTGGCTTCCAGCGGCAGGTCGAAGAACTCAGCTACGTCACGCATCAGGTTCCCAATCACATCATCTGGCATTCCATGGTTGATGAGCTGCGTGCGATTGGTATGGGCGTGCAGTGCCGCCGGTTCAGTTGCACGTCGTATACACGGCGCACGGCCATTTTGCAGAATTCAGACAGCACATACATGAACCAACCAACGAATTGATGATATGTACCTGGAAGAAGCCCCAGTGGTGACATGCAGATTTCAGCTTGGCGCACTCCTCCGACGACCGCGTGTCAAGCAACTTGCGGAGATCCACTACCGGAATCTCCGAATGGCTTCCGCCACCGCCGGCGATGACCTCCTCCGCCTCCGCGACGAGGTACCTCTCGGGCACCTGCCCATCGACCCCATTGCAAGCCTCCGCGAGCGCCTGCACGTTCGCCACCGGGATGAGAGCAGAGGCGACAGCTCTTGCATTATTCGCCACCATTGGTCCTGGCACTCCTCCCTCACCGAGCTTTTGTTTCTGGCTTTCTGGTTGCTGCCGCTGGTTCTCTCGCCCGCGCGCCCCCCCTTTTTATGACGTGCGCTGCTGATCCTGACGCTTCTGTTGTGACGACGATCGATGCTGACATTTGCATGCCATTGAGAGAAAAGCAACGGAGGGCGGTGCACGAGTAGCGTTGGCTTCTTCTACCATGGATGATGCATGCAAGAACACCCATAGATTTTTGCACCCCGGGATTGCACCAAAATTTCTCCACATCCATTCAGGGCAAGCGTCCCGTACTCCCGTCTCCAGTCGCCATACGCACGGCACGCAGCCTGACAACACTCTAACGACTTTTGCTTGGATGGATGGAGTTGGCTGCCGGCTGGAGTTTCTTGTGTGCAATTTTGCTCGTCTGAAAAAGGCAGGGTCCTTCTCATATTGTCTTACGGATGACCGAAGCTGACGCACGCACACCGTACCAAGATAGTCATGGGCGGGAACGTGAAGAAACGGTGCTTTCTCGTTTTTTCATGTGCGTGGTACCTACCTGCTGCCAAGACTGAGAGCGTGTTTGGTTAATTCCTAGCCCCGGTCTACGGTGCACCGCGGCAGCACCATACTTGTAGTGGTAGAATCAGACCCCGCAAGCATGGTGAAATTAAAAGATAATATTATGAAAGATGTGGTTGTCCAGCTTAAATCGTCAACCAAACGCATCAACGCAATGTAGCAGTACGTCTTGCATGTGGCATGACACGTGATGGCTAGAAACCAAACACACTCTCGATAATTCAGGATGTACACTCTCTTTCTCTAAAATCGTGCCTTAATATTTCTCTCCCTCTCTCTCGCATCAAATGTGTTATATATTACACGAATCTCATCTCCTTTTTTCTGATTAATTACGTGCGCATGTGCACGGCGCAACCCTTTTCGGCTTTCCTGGTTCACGCCAGACAGGGGCGGAGCTTGATTAAGACCAAGCTGGGCCACGCGCCCCTGCCCAATGCAATTTTCATTTGCTAAACAGCAACTTATTTACTGTTCATGAGTGATTAATACCCAACTATATAAAGAATGGCCCCTACTGCTTCTTTGATCAAGCTCTGCCACCGACGTCAGGAATGAAAGGATCAAAGGACTGGTTTGGGTGCCTTTGCACCATATCCTAAATACATACACATATCTCTTGTTTGGGACAATTTCAGATCCAGATTAAAAAAGTTTATCAAACACCTCTAGCTCTACCTACTCCACCAAATTGGTGGATCTGCCCTTCATCAAATTAGCACCGGATCCAACTTTAGTGGAATTGGTAAAAATTACTCACCGTGTCACCGATTACGCAAAGAAAACCGTTCGTTTTCTATTTTTTCTATCGAATCCCTTCCTTCTCGACGAGCCGTCCACCGCGCCTAGTGCCCCGATGCCGGCCGTCTGCTCAAGTGACCTGCGTCGGCCGTACACGAGAGCTCCGCCGGGACCGCGCGCCACCTCCGTCAACCCGCGCGAGATTTGCCGGGACCTGCGCAAGCTCCACTGGCCCCGTGAGGCGCGGACCGGAGACCGGGAAGAAGAACATCGGAGGAGACCTGCCCTGCCGCCGCGCTCCCCGCAGAGCCAAGCACCTCCGTCGCGCTCCCAGATCCGGCACCGGCCGGGTGGTGAGGGAGGGCCCGCCCGGCGTGGCCGCACCCGCCCGGTGAGGCCGTGCGCCCGACCGGCGTGGCCGCACTCGCCCAGCGAGGCCGCGCCTCTCCTGCGCGCGTTGGGAGGAAGACGACCCGTGATTTTTTTTGTTTCATTTAGTTTTTTGTTTTGCCACCTGACGTGTGGGGTCTAGGTGTAAGTGAAATAGAGATGGAGGTGGAGCTATACCAAACACCTCTAGCTCCATCAGCTCCATTGTTAAAGCTGCTCCACGGTGGATCTAGGTGAATCCCAGATTCACTTTTTCACTGGGTGGAGCTGTCCTAAACAAGCCAAGACGAGAGGACTTGTGCACATTTTCATTCGTGTGGCTGATTGCTACTCCTGTTCAAAATTCTAAATTTTAGATTATTCTAGCTTTAATGTGAGTTAGACTTTTCAAGTTTGAACCAATTTTAGAAAATATAATCTCTGAGCTCCCAGGGCCTGTTTGGTTAAATAAGGGTGGTTAAAATAATCATTAACTTTAGGCCCCTCTCCTCTATGGGTGCGAGTTGTCTCTCGGGTTAGTTCCCTAGAGCTCCTAGGGTCCACCAGATTTCTCTGGTGGTTGCCCTGGATGGGGATCGGAGAAAATGGTTTTGCGTTGTGCTAGTTTACTGAAAGCTCCCGGGTCACATGATTTCTACAGTGACCACTGAAGAAGAGGGACCGGAGCTCTGGGTGTCCAACGACTAGTTCAATCGTTGGATGTTAGAGAGCTTTCTCCGGTGGTGCCCCTAGAGTATTCGGTGCCTAAGCTGTGAAGCTCCCAATCATGGTTTTGACAAGCCTTTATCTGCCACCATCAATTGCCCCAAGTGGCAAAACCAGCCCATCCCATAGCATAGCATATATGTCACGGCGGACTAAGCACGTGGACGTGTGTGGCTTGCCTTTCGTCTCTCTCGATCTCCTAATAAACATACACGTCATTTATTTAAGTTGAGTGAATATTTAGTCAAAATCCTTTATACAATGGAACTAAACCTTTTTTCATCACCTAGTAGTATTTATAGGCCTTAGAATTTATTTGATTTTCGAATAAAATTAGGTCAAATCCAATTAAAACCAACAACTAATCCAACCATTCAACCATCCTAACTGGTGACGCCCCTGCCACGTCATCACACTAGCACCGCCCTTGAACTCCGCTACTACTAGGCCTGCTTACCACCCTCTCGCCTTCACTTAAAGCGCTGCTTTTTTTAACATAAATCAAGCGCCGCTAGACTTTGGTCATCATCTCTCAACTAGAGCTATGCCCTTAACTTGGAGCTCTAATAACCTCACCAGAATATTTGCCAGTGTAGAAGAAAAGGAAGAGGAACAAGCTAAACCAGAGTGCAAAGGAGAAGATAAACACCCCTTTATATGAAATACTCCTATATTTGATCTTAACTAGTACATATGCACGTCCGACATACACATATTGATGAAAAAATATATCAAGAGAGATGAGTACAAAAGTCAAATATTTAACAAGACAATTCATATATCATATAGAAAATATTCCTAATCTTTATTGACAACATATATACAACAGTTTATGTATGATATTAGACATGCACGTGTGGTATACGTACATGTTTATCAAAAAAATTAGAAAAAAAGCACCTTTGTAGATGAATAGCAATTAATTTGACGTTCTTCTCATTGTTCTGAAGGCCTAATTTTTGCAGCATACTTCTTCCACAAGAATAGTAGGTATCATCACTTTGTGGCTGTGAAAACTTTTGACCAATCTACAAAACATGTCAAATCGGCAATAGTTAGAATGATCTGCTTGAGTTGGGTGACAATTTATAAAGCAGAAATTTTGCTGTAGTCCTACACATGATACAGAAGACAAGGACAGTTGTAGACTCATAGTCATGGTAACATTTCCAACAGAGGAAACAACATCAACAAGACAAGACTCATGAGCAACGAAGCAACTTCCATCAGCAATAGACATTCCCAGATTCATACCATGAAAACACCACCTTGAATACATCAAAAGCAACACCAATTGCACAGCGATAGTTTTATGTCCCTGTTTCCAAGACAACTATGTACTAGAAATAATGGTGCAAACAAGTTTGATCTCTATAAAACTTCTTTCATCCCATGAACATGTCAGTTTATTTAACATCCATAAAACTCTCTAAAATTAACTCCACTGGCCTAATTGCACTAGCTATTGAATACTCCTTTATCTGATCTTAATTTATTGCCTTGGTCGGTGGGCATGGGCCATGGGCCATGCATGGAGCGTACATAATGGGCAGTGCATGACTGCAGGCCGAAGTGGCTCAGGGAAAAGAGGGACGGAGAGAGTAGGACCTACTCGAGAAGGAGCTAGAGCCTACCGAGAAGCTCACCGATTAGCATCGTTTTTTATTGTAATGGAATATGAATATTCCGATCACTACAGACGGAAAATATTCTATGAGCATAGCATTAGGGCACTGATGAAAGACTGATCCTGATCAACAATAGCATGCATATTTGTTTCATGAAATAGTCATGCTCATTTTTTGCAGGATGCACACATCCACAAAACCCTAAACCCTAAACACCCTGTTTGCTTGATCATTTCTGTGGCTTATAAGCCGGCTGATGCTGTTTTGTTGTGAGAGAAAAATACTGTATCATGACTGATAAACATGATTGATACGATCAAGCGAACAGGGTAAAAGCTTGAGAACGAGCTATATGGTTGAAGACATAATTATTTTGTGCTCGTCATTATTATGGTCCCTCCAGCGATAGGTACGATAGAGATAGCTACTGCTCCGACTTCAATCACCACTGCAGACGTCCTCTTTGCCGAGTGCTGGGGGCACTCGGCAAAGCCAACTAAGCACTCGGCAAAGGCTTTGCCGAGTGCCGCACTCGGCAAAGGCTTTGCCGAGTGCCGCACTCGGCAAAGGTCTCTCGGCAAAGATTTTATCGGCAAAAATTTCTTTGCCGAGTGCCAAAAATCGACACTCGGCAAAGTCTTTGCCGAGTGCCAAGCCCGCACTCGGCAAAAAAATAACTGCTGTCAACATTTGACGCCGGCTTTGCCGAGTGCCTAGGGACTGGCACTTGGCAAAATTTGAATTTTTGCCGAGAGCCAGGGCTCAGCACTCGGCAAAGAAACCATTTTTTTAAAAAAAATCTTTTTAAAAATAGTCTTTGCCGAGTGGTACCACCTGGCACTCGGCAAAATTGATCTCTTTGCCGAGTGCCAGGCTGTGGCATTCGGCAAAACTGGGGAAGTGGCTGTTTTTGCTGCATTTTTTCCAGCTTTGCCGAGTGCTACACCCCTAGCACTCGGCAAA